TTTGGACACCCCACTGAGAACTGTTGTTTTTCTCTTACTGGAATTTCTGCAGCATCGTAGTAATTTCTGAGCATGCTCTACACATAAAATCATGAAGCTACTGAACAGGACACAAATATTTCTTGCGAAATCTATGAATAGTGCAACTTTTAAAACGTTGGGGTGGTGAAACACTCCACTGCATTAACCCAGGGTTAAAATTTTTAAAACTAGTTTTATAGTTTATATTTTATTTTAATATAAAATAATTAATAAAATTTTAAAAAATATAATTCAGAAAATACGAATTTAGAAAAACTTACCCCATATCCTGCTACTGGACCTATACTGTGACCCAGGTATGGATCTGTATATTCACGTCCATAACTGTAATATAACGATGGAGACCTATAATTTAAATTTTCAAAATATAAAACTAGAAATTAAAATTCAAAAAATCATTTATTTAATCCTGAAAATCTGGACAATTCTGGCTGAGTAGTAAAGGTTTTACTTTTCAAATTCTATAGTCATACTCTGTACAATATCTGTCTTCATTAAATATTCAAAAAAATGATGAAAGAAATTTTGGAAGAGAAATTACAATTAGATAAAGATAATTGCTTCAGCCTTTCATCATGTAAATTAGCATTAGTTTCCTAAATACATACACATTTAGAAATACAAAATATTTTAAATTTAACATGTCTGTAACTGAGATTTTTAGGTGTCTTGTTTCTGTGGACTGGCTGACCTTTGTTGCCTTTTATTATAATTGCACAATTGAAAAATAATAATTTTATAGTTTTTATTATTGATCTATGTTAAAGATCACATTTCCCCATTTAATCTGATGTATAATAAGTAAGAATTTGTTGATATATATTTGATTGTTTATAATTTGAATTTAATGTAAACAAATACAAAAATCAATTTTTTTTAGCATTGTTTATAATTCTCCATTTGAAAAATTTATGTTCATTTTTGATTGGGTAATGGTTTATTTCTATTTTCTATTTTATGGATTGTTTTCTACCATCTGACAAAGATTTATGACAAGTGTAACAGAATTTTAGATTTTGATTTCATTTATATGCCATCTCTGTAAATATGCAAATTAGCACTAGAGAAAAATTGCTTTAACCCACAATAACTGTGGTACTTTTGATTACTTGCTTATTTGTATTTATATTTTAAAAGAACTAAACATTAAATTAAATAATAATAATAGTAACAACTTCTACAAAAAAAAAAAAAAACAAAAAATGATGGAACACATTTTGTTGCAAAAACATTCTATAAAAACTGATTTTAAATTTTGATCTTAAAATTTTGTCAACAGGTAAAACTAGGTGTATATTATATACAAAAAACTGATGGATGTAGGAAATATGAAGTGGGTCAAAGGTCATTTCTGTATCTCACATGAGCCACCATAGAGATATTAAAGTTCTCCAAGTCAATGATGGCCTGATAAGTCTGCCCCTGTCATTCCATAAAACAGACAATAATGACTTATTTCAAAACACATTTTTTTCCAATAATTGCATTAAATATAGTGCTGTTCAAAGTCTTGTATCAGTTACAAAACTTGGGGCTAACCAGTTACAAGAACTGGTTAGTTCTCAAGAGCATCCAGTGTTTCTATTAGCAGCAATAAGTATAGTTAAGGTAAAATGTACAGACAAACTTCAGTTTACAAACTTAATTTGTTCCTAAATGTTGTTCAGAAACAGATTTGTTCTCAAACTGAAACAAATTTTCCCAAAACAATGTAAAATGGATTAATCAGTTCTCAACCCCCAAAACAAAACCTGTTTTTTTTTACTTTGTTAGCTATACTTCATGCATAAAATATTGCCTATAAAGGCAATATTTATATTATATATAATATTACTTCATCTATATACTGCCAAGATGAAATATAAAGTACTTGTTGTCAAGACTGACAACAAGTACTTTATCAACACTTTTCAAAATATTGTGTTTCAATTGATTTTATTTCAATTTTAATTTTATTTTATTTTCATTGTTTGGTTTCATTCAAAATTTTGTTTGTAAATTGAATTGTTCCTAAAAGAGAGGTTGGTAACCTGAGGTTTGACTATTTTATCATCATTAGTGACTTTTTTACTTTAATGTTTCAGTTTAATGTTTTCATATAACATGGTGTTATAGGGAACAGCTTAGTTTGGTAACTTTTGTAAAGGTAGTAAGTGAGGAGTTACATATATAGCAAGTCACAGAATTTGATGTGGCGAGTGCAGCCTTGTCACATCAAAAATTCTGTTGCAAAGCTTAAGTGCAAAGAAGTTAGCCATCACTAATCTAAGTTGTAGATTTAAAATATTTTAAAGATAATATTTAAATTTAATTTATTTGAATTGAAGCTGTTTTCATCGATACTCAAAGACAGTGACACCATACCAAGTAAGAAAATTTGCTTTTTTGAGTTGTTGCTTTTTGAGAGTTATTTATTCAACTCCAAATGCCTAAAGTAACTATGAATATCTTGCTTGAAAGATAATTGGTTTCTTAGTGTGCAAAATTTCAGGATTTTCTATAAAGGGACTGCCAAAATATAAGAAATTCAAAAGTGCAAAATTTGCAAAAAAAATGTATTTTCTTCTTCCTCATCTGGCACTGCATATACCCCTATAGAAAAAAATTACTGGGTCTAGAAAATTCAAATTTTAAACCTAAGCATCTCTTATTATCAGTGAGAACCTTGCAAAACTGCTGGGTCAATATGCTAAAGTTCATGGAGATTCCCCAGAGAGCAATTTTACTTTTATTGCTTAATTTCATGTTTATAAGGAGAAAACTGTATTGAAATAAATGATTTTCAGTCAAAACATTATCCAGATAACAAAAGCTCAAATTTATGCCAATTAAAACTTTTCATAATGATTTTACTAATGCTGTATTGAAAGCATTCAGTAATGGCCATCAACCAACTGTATGTCATCATCTCAGGTCTTCATGTAATAACACAATCATTGACCAAAATACAAATACCAAATAAAAATAGCTGAAATGTAAAAAGGTTACACCAAGTAAAACATGACGACAATTTAGATAATGGCCAAATTTTTCTTTCTTAGGAGTTTTTCTTTTGTAAGGATAAGCTTTGTGCCTGAAGCAGTACTCACAAGATTTTTATTATTGTTTCTTATATTTTGCTTTGAAGTGCCAAATTTAACTTTATGGAAGAAAACCTGCTAAGAAAAAATTTGACTGTCATCTAAACTGTCAAAATCTTTTACTTGGTACAATTTTTTACATCTCAGATGTTTTTGTTTGAATATCATATCATTACTCTGACACAAGCTGATAATGAACTCTGGTTTGAAAATGTCTTAAAATAAAAAATATTGACTTTCATACTTGAGTCTGTTTTCTGTTGTTATTGCATATATGATTTCTTCCATAACAAATGATATTTTGTAAAAAGTTTGAAATGTGTAAATTATGTGCAAGTGAACAACACAATGCATGTTGAAAACAAGATATTGTTGCTTAGACAATGTATTGTTCAATTGAAATTATTAAACGGTCAAAAAATACAGAAAATTTTTTTTGAGTTTTTATTTCATATGGAGAAAACTACATTCCCCTAATTTTGTAAATTTTCTTAATAAATATATTGAAAAATTTTAATTTTAAACTAAAACTGTTTTCATTTTACTTGGACATTGTGTAATTAAGTTAATAAATTTTTTATTATTAAAAGAATTTAATGCTCTAGCTAAATAATATAGTTATGTCTTCAGTATCCTGATATTTTTTAGCTATCATTTTCAATTCAGTAACATTAATATCTTAATTAGAATTAACATAATAATCATAAAACTTATTTTAAATAATAATAATTTTTACCCTGCTACTGCTGCATATGATACTGGTTGAGCTGCTGCAGCTGCCGCTGCATAACTTCTTGCAGCTGCTGCAGTATATGCTGCACTTGCTGCATATGTAGCCTAAAAATACAAATCAAACTTATATTTAAGACATTAAAAATGATTAATTATCAAAATATTATCTGTATATATTATTGTTTTTACAATATTTTGATTATTTAAATTAAATAACTGAATTTATTGAATATAGTTCAACCTAATTGCTTCAGTCTAAATTAAGCTTGTACAAAATTTTTTAAATAACTGTCATAATCATAAATTATATTATAAAAAGCTTCAATTAATAAAAATTTAATTTCAAAATAAATTCTACATAAGAAATTAAACAGTGATAAATCTATCTAATCAGAAAATAAGATCATAAAATATTTAAAGATATGTTTTTATGAAAAAAAATAACATACACTAAACACCAAAACTGCAGTTTGAAAATGTAAATTTAATGCAAAACATGCTAATGAAAATGTAAATGTTTTCATTGGCATATTTTGCTCTGTAACCTGATGATGCTTGCTTAAGGCAATTGAAAACATTTATTTTGCATTAACTTTATGGACTCAAACTGGAGTTTGTGTTTGGTGAATGTTTTTCTTTAATGTAATCCAGTTACTCAGTTGTCTTATCCTCACTTATCACATTAATTTCTTAATTATGAAGAATAGCGTAATGCTAGAATCACTGAAAGAGTAGTCTAAGATTTATTTCAGATTAAACATTTTATCAGGATTAAACATCACATCATCAGATCCTACAGAAATGGAACAAAATATGTCAAAGAAGCATTGCAGAACCTTGGATTATTTGAAAAAGTCCAAACAACCCATTTAAATGTTTCAATACATAACAGACTATAAAACAAACTACAAAATTGAAAACATAAAAGATAAAACAGGAATAAAATAAAATAATAAAGAATAAATACCAGGAAATGACTAAAGTAAAATGAGTAGTTCAAAATTTCCAAATACTCAAAGGTTTTGAACACCTTTTTGATGTTATTCTTCCAATTCTGTAGCATGATGTTGAAATGCATAGTCCCAAAAAAGTTTAAAATAAATCCTGAACGCCTTCAGTAATTCTAACTTTACATTATTCTTCTCATGGAGTCATGCAATTTGCTTAAATGTTCTTTAATCATGTTTTATTTTTTAAAAATATATAAATAGCCTGATAAATTGGCAGATTGTTTGGCTTTAATTAATTAAATGGGGTTATTTAAAACAAATACTTACTGGTAATTGATATCTTTCTGCACCTGCATATGCTAAAAAAGGATCTTGATATACACTAAAAACAAAACAAAATAGATTATTATTTATTATATATTTATATATTCATCATTTATTTTATTTACATAAATGAAACATAAAATTAGCATAAAAGGTGCTATTTGATTTCATTTGAAATATTTATCTTATTGATATATTCTACTTCAGTCTGGTATAAGAATTCAACATTAAGTTAAACTATATACAGGCATCTCTCATATAACACAATAGTTACATTCCCAAAAATATGCCATGTTATATGAACACATGCTATACAAAACAAAGGACTAATGCAAAACATTGGGTTGAATTCCAAAAGTTAACAAAAGTATACATTTGTTTTCATTACCAAGAGAAATATGTTTATTAAAGAAATCAATAATTAACTAACAATCACATTTAAAAGTATTGCATTATGTGTTGATAATCATTTTAGTAAATGAGAGAATTTTCTTTCTACAAAGTATCATTATCATCTGAGTTTGTTGATCTTGATTAGAAATGTCAACATCTTCATTTCTTTTCATTTTTTATGGTAAAAATAAATGTACGACAAAATAAAAATAAAGGTATTAATCAAAAATCTGTTCTACTAGGTCACATTTGTTCAGTCGAGGACCGAGTAATTTTTAATAGAATTTGTGTTTGAATACTGAATTATTCAAATTGGGAACAGTTCAATTACTGAGATATCACTGTATTTCATTTGTCATTTTTACAAATGATTACTTATCTATGATTAAAAAAGTTTAATAACAATTACATAAAAGCATTTAAATAAACTTTACTAAATAAAGATTAATCTATAAAAACAAAACACTAATACAGTAGAGCATCGATTATCCGACACCCGATTAACCGTCACATCAGTTAACCGACCATTCTAGTCGGCAAATTTCAAATGTCCGCTAGTGATGTGGCATTACAATACAGTAGAGCGTCATTTATCCAAAGGAATTCCAGTCGACAAATTTAAATTTTTGCCAGTGCTGTGGCGCTGTAATCTTTGGCTATGTCTTCGGCTACTCAAATATTTTACATTTTTGATACTAAATTAACTTCTTAAGTATAATTTTTTATTGTTTTTATATTTTTCAATATATTTATTTTGTTTGTACAAAATAAAAAAATAATTTTTAACGATACAATAGT